TAAGCCTGTTGTGTATCCGAGCTGCTCTGATTAAAAGCCAAACCAAAGGTCAGCCTGTGCTGGTGACGGAGATACGGTCCGACCCAGTGGCTGATGAGTTTCACGTTACGGTCTGTGCTGTGGACGCCTGCGGTCAGCCTCCAGGCTCCACACTCTTCTGACACGACTTATCAGGAGCCGCGTCTCTGGGCTCGGCTCGTGTTCATAACTGCAGATTAAACCGCCCCCGGGACACATTTAAATTCATTTTATTTCACCGCTCTCTGCCTCCATGAACTCCAAATGTTTTTAAACTCCTCTGTCATCTCCTCTCACTTCCCTTTCATTCTCCTGCCTCCCCCTCCCCCCTCCCTCCCCCTCTCCTTCCCTCCCTCCCTCCCATCTAATCTGGCCTTTTTTTCACTCTCCAGTTCAGATGGTCTCGACCTTCCTTCTTTATGCACAATCAAACACACACACAGACGCCAACATGGAGAAAATAAAGAAACAGCATGTCAGCGAAACCAACGGCAGTGTATTTCACCACAGAGCTCCGAGCCAGAGCAGCGGGAAACAAAAAAACAACAGCACCAGACCTCCCTCTCTCCATCCTGCTCCTCGTTCAAAGTCTGTTTATTTGTTTCTCCTCCGTCCAAAAACCCCAGACATTTTCCTCTCGGCTTGTTCTTCTCATGGAAACATCCAGTGCAACGACAACTCTGACAAACGAGAGCAAAGTGTGAAGTGGTAAAGGTAGGTTAGTTAACGACAACAACAACAACAACAACAACAACAACTCCTCTAGTTACAGTTACAGTTACAGTGATCACTGTTAGAGTGGTGTTTGTTCTGAAGGTTCAGGGAAAATACTTACACAGTACTATGTACATGAAGTAAAAAAAACCCAAAACAAACCAAAACACATGCACAGTCGGATCAGTATGAACACACAAAATAATTACAGTCTAATACGTCAGGCGTGTGGAAGTGCTTATATTCAGCCTGCGTAGACTGGACACGCAGAAGGACCTCCGTGATTGGTCAATCCTTAGTTTATGTTTGGCTGCAAAAGTGAGAACAGAAATGCAGAAAGAATCCAGCGGTCCGTCCACCGTCGTGCTCTGGAGACGGCTGCTGATGTCACTAGTTTCAGGAGATCGTTAACAAAAGATAATGTCGACCAGTCGGGGTGTACGAAAATATCAATGCACAGAAATATCACGATGTTTAGTTTCACAATTCCATACTGATATTCTGCAGTACTGTGGATTAGTAACAGCATCGTGTGTTTACTATGCTAACAGTTTTCCTACAATTAAACACAATTAAAGTTTTTAAAAACCCAACATACCGACGTGCCTGTAGTATCTCAATATATCGTATTGTTGCCCCTGTATCGTAATATGCATCGTATCGCCAGGTTCTTGCCAATAAACACCCCTGATAATAATCAAAGTTGTTTTCAGACGACACATCGTTCGTTTGTTGTGCTCTATCATTTATTTTCTTCTAAACTGAACTGTCATGTCATAAAACTGACATTTCCTTCGATTCTGTCTTCACTAAATCTCCATGTTGAAACTTGACTGATTACTGGTTACAGGCGCTAACTAACTGTCATTGATCGTGATCAGACATGGAGCTATAATTAATTACCAATAATGTTGTTCTTAAGTTCCTGTGTTTAACCCTTTTGTGCCACCTACTGGCACGGAGGACTAACTGGCTCAGCCCTTCCACGTGTTTTTTATTTTTTTATAATGTGGTAGTCATTGGTCCTTGGTCTTTCCTGAGTCGTGAGTGTTGAGGTTCACGTCCTAGTCGCTCGAAAGTCAATCAGGTCACGTGTCTGATTTAATGTTCAAGTCACAGGTGAGAAGTCTGACTTGTTTTGATCGTGTTTGACTGTTGTTATTCGTACGTACCTTCATCCAGACTGAAACTGAAACTCATTCTACGACACGACCGATGCACGACGTTGTTACCAAGATTTATGACGCAGAAATTGTTTGTCATCCCAATAAAAATCATCCCCGTAAAAAAATAAATAAATAAAAGGTTTGGCTGCAGCGTTGTTAACTTCATGCTTCATAAATGTAACAGTTCCACAATTACGAGCCTTTAACTCCAGGTTAGTGGTGCAGATGCCTTTAAAGGAAGTTTCCAATCAGAGGTGTTGTCGCAGTCTCCGGTCTTTAGCCAAACATTAACTTTAAGAGTCTTCGAACCGACGCCTGTCCTCTGGAACTCTGGGTGTTTCTCAGCTCTCTGTTTTGTCTGCTCTGTTTCTACGATGTCCATCAGTGTTCGTGTCTGTGTTTCTGTGATTTTCATATTAGCACATAGCTAACAGATGCTAACAGGCTGTGAGTAACGGACCCTGTTTCACTGTGAGGTATTAACTCGTGTCCAGTAGGTTTATGGGAAAATTAGGCGACGGTGTTTCTAACTTTTTTCAAACTATTTGTTTGTTTTAAATAGAAGTCTTTACCATCGAACACCACGTCAGTTTGTAAAGAATGACCTTGTTTAGTGGAAAACAAATGATAAAGCACAACAAGGCTAACGGCTAAATACTTATGTCTTACCCTCATATGTGTGGCTACTTAACTTACAGCACAGAGCTCTATAGTTCTATAGAACCGTACACTCCTCCAAGTTTTTCACACCGTCCCCCATCTTTTCGACTTCCTCTCATTTTAATACAAAGGAGTTCTTCTTCTTCTTCTTCGTTTCAGTGCTTGCTAACGACACCTCTGCCCATTTATTATACACCGTCTATTTCTCGTACTTGTATCTCCTTGTTGCGGGGAGTCGTTCAGTACGGCCTTGGGACACGTCCATCGTAACTCATGGATGATCAGGAACTGTGTGTTCCTGTGTGTGTGTGTGATTCATAGAAACAAGAAGTCACTAATTGGATCATGTACTGTTGCAGCCGGGGAGGGAGGGGGCGAACAACCTCTCCATTGTACAGCGGAGACGGAGACGGAGGGGGAGGGGGGCAGGAGGAGAGGTTGGGTGAGGGTAAAGTATCGTCTTATCTGCAGCTGTTTGTCTCGTCGCGTACGACGACAGGACGGGGGAACGGAGGGAAAGTGGACCGGTTAATCTTCTTCCTCGGTGAAGGACACTTGTGCAACCTTATCACACAACACAGCATATGACCTGTGTGTGTGTGTGTGTGTGTGTGTGTGTGTGTGTGTTCCTTGTCTGTCAGGAACTTTCTTCTCATTTCTTCCGCCTCCAGCTCGGTGCTCACGCAGCTTAATTCCATTTTAGTTTTTGAACGGGCGTCAGTTTGACAGGGTTTAGTGACAGGCACGTCATTGGTCATATTTACATCAGAGAGAAGGCACTTTAAGTGCTCCATGTGTTTGGTGCTAAAGAAGAAAATCTGAGTGCTACATGTCGGAGATACACGACCGCATCGTCAGCGTACACTTTTGTACGGGTTATTCACACAAAGGCTCGCGATTCCTGCCAGAAAAGTCACGCCACTGGTCCACAGGTCCACTGGTCCACTGGTCCACGGGTCCACAGGTCCACTGGTCCAGGGTTTGGTTAGATCCACACCATGGGTCAAAAAAAAGATCTGCTCCAAAGGTCGAAGGTCAGAGTCAGGACGTGTCCAGCTCCTACTGTCGTCCTCTGGACACGCGTGGTTTTTACGGTCGGCGTCTGCCGCTGGACGGTCACTGCAGCATGATGTCTTTGAGGTTTTCCTGCAGGATGGTGTCCTTGACGGCGTGGAAGACGAAGCGGATGTTTTCGGTGTCCACAGCGGTGGTGAAGTGGGGGGAGGGGGGGGTTTCCCCCGGTTTCTCCTTTTACGACTGAACGACTGCACCAGGAACGCCTGGAGACGGAAGGAGACAAACTGGGTTAGAAACTGGGTTACAGTGGGATCTCTGCACCGACTTCTAGGTTTGTCTTAAACGACACAAGGATGTGGTCAACCGGGACTAATCCACACTTTAATCAGATTAAAAATGTTAATCAACAACCAGTTCTTAAGGTTTTTTGTTTTGTTTTTTTATTATTAAATAACGTGATAGGACCTGGGAACATCGAACCCATGACCCTCGTGTGTCTGTACCTGGACGTCCTCAAGTCGGCGAGGATCTCCCCTGAACTCAGGAAAGTTTTTGCGAATGTCCACTGTGCGTATCTTCTCCACCAGGAGATCAGTCTTATTGAGGAAGAGGATGATGGACACGTTGAGGAAGAGCTTGTTGTTGACGATGGTCTCAAAGATGTTCATGCTCTCCACCAAACGGTTGGTCCTTCGATCCTCCATCAGGACCTGGAATGGCACACACACACACACACACACACACACACACTTTTCATCACATGACTGTTGATGAGGAGAAGAGCAACCGTCAGGTTTCCTCAGAAAACCACAAAGAGGCCTTTGTGTTGCCCTCAGGGGTCCTGGACCTCATGTTTCTTGTCATGTTGAATCTGAGCGTGTAACGTGCCGACCATGTGACCAACCGCTCTCTGCATCTTGGTCAAAAGTGTGTGTGTGTGTGTGTGCGTACCTGGTCATACTCGGAGGATGACACCATGAAGAGGATGGATGTGATTCCATCGAAACACTGGAACCACTTCTGTCTCTGCGACCTCTGCCCCCCGACGTCCACCATCTTGAAGGGAATCTTCTTGATGAAAAAGTCGTGCTCCACTATCCCCTTGGTGGCTTTTCTGGCAAACAGAATGTCCTGTTTGTTCGGGATGTAGTTCTGAAAATGGAGAAGAAAAAAATGTGTGAAATATGAGTGTTCAGCGTTTCCTAACGTAGTTCTGCGCTCTGCAAACGGGGTTAAAAGTCCAGCAGGGGTTAAAGGTCATTCAGCAGTGATTTACTCCTGTGGACGTTTACAGAGAAATATCTTCTAAGTTTTTTTTTATCAAATAACTTGACTAGTGAACTGGTCAAACTGAAAACTATTATTTTTAAATTATATTCTGAAGGTTAGCATGAAGATCAACGTCCAAACCTGTGGCTAGTTCACCCGCTAACTGAGGAACCTCAGTTCTCACGTGACCTTTTACAGTCTTATACACCGTCTATAAAGTACACATACTGTACTGTGTTCATAGTATGTGTATTTTATTCATGACATCGACGGCTCTCTTCCAGCTCAGGGCGTTTGTCTGTGACTCACCAGTTGTCCGATACGATCCAAGTTGTCCAGGAAGTACTTCACTGACTCACTCTGCGGACAGGAAACGAAAATAAAACAACACAAATCATATCACGGTGATTCATCGGTGAACTGTCAGACAAACCATCCAATCACATGACAACATCCAGTGCTTTCCCTTCAACAAACGTTATTGCTCTGTGGTTTTGCAATTTCACAAGTCATCAATCGGTCCCACTCGGTACCAGACAAACTAGAGTCTGTGTCACACTACAGCTGGAACTTTCTCTGCTACTTGAGAAGCTGTTTTTACAGTAAATGCTGCGTCATTATCAGTGTTTGGATTATGACCCATGAACCGGACTTGACTGGACTGGACCAAGGAGTAGTAGTAAATCTGATACATGAAGATTCATCTGAGAAACATCTGCAGTGACTAAACCAGTGGTTCTTTTCAGGCCTCAGCTGCCCCCTGATGGCCCAACACAAAATTAAATTTTTTTAAAATTTATTGAACTAATGAAACTGACCGTCGACCCCCCCCTCCCTTGCGCCCCACCTGTCTGTGTTTTCTCTGGTCCAGACAATGATTCTTGTCCATCATATTTACCATGAGGAGAAGCAGAGCCAGAACCAAAGACGGTTCTGGTTCTGGTTCTGGTTCTGCTTCTCCTCACAAACATCGAGGGTTGTTGAAGAGTTGTTGGTTAAAATACCAGACGCTGAGTTTCACTTTTCCTCAGGCTGACAAGGGAACGTCTCAAAGTTGTCTTCCTTTCTATGTAACTGTTTGTCTCTCTCTCTCTCTCTCTCTCTCTGTCTTTTGGAAACACACACACACACGTATGTGCAGTCATTCAACAGGAAACAG